GAGTAAGCCTTCCACAAGTGGCGACCTTGCCAGGATCAACTCGACTGAATCAGATTCATTCCATTCAAAATCAACCTTTGGGGAACCTAACCCGCATACCACAGACTTTCCCACCCCCCATGAAAAAACATTCTCTAGGTAGGACCTAAGTATTTAAAAGTTTTTGGGATTGTTAAGCCCAAATTTTATTGAAGTCAATTCGGCAGGATGAATATTTAATTTCTACCACCTATTTGTTGACTTAAAACACATTGGGGATTAAAACCAGGGCCCCAATTTTCCATGACAATTTTTTTTCATTGACCCTTTTATTTATTAAGGGAATTTTGTGGGACACTCTTGATTTGTTGGTGAGAAGAGGGATGGCCAAGGGACCCCATTCTACTTACTTTTCTGGGAGCCGCATGGAACCCTTCGTTTTCATTAATTCAAATTTTTTTAATTGAAGAAAGGGATGAGCCCCCTGATTTTTTACAGTTTAGCGGGCAGAATTAAACCCTCCTTTTTCTTTAAAACCCTTTCATTTTCCCCTGGTAGTTTAAGTTATTCTTGCAAATTTTTGGGAATACCATTTTTTGGATGAACCGGGAAAGTAAGTTAGGAAAAAACGGGAAAAATTTAGAATCTTTCATTGTGCAAAAACCGGGAAAGAATTAAAAAGGGGGGGAAGAGAGAGAATCGAAACAAAGAAAAAAAGGAGAAAGGAGAATCGAAGAAAAGGGGAAAAATAAGAGAGAGAATTGAAAAGGGAAATCCAAGAAAAACAGTTAAAAAAGAGAAAGACAAAAGGACGGATAGACTTTATCATGAGAAAAGATGCTGAGTTCAGTCTTCTTACCATTTCTCCTTTCCCCAATTTCCCAAAATTGAGAGACCTCGCATAGTTTTTGAAAAACCCAAACTTGCCAAAGGGCCATACAAAACCTATTTTGATTCCAAATCAGAGGGAAAATTTTAAATGGAGATGAAGTTCTTGCCTATCAATCAAATAAATATTATAGCATGGAAAAGGTCCATATAAATATTAAAATTTATGGGAAAGTTTTACTATTGCATGATCCCATCACACATTGGATACTCCCTTTATGAAAAGTTTTATATGTTGCCAAAAGAGTAAACGAGAAGAGAAAGTAGAATATAACTTTGGGAAACTGTGTCCCACATTAGGGAAAAATATTAGGAAGAAATAAATAATGAAAAGATTTTTAAGGAATGCAGTTAGAAGCCTGATAAATCTATAACCCACTAGAAAAAAATGAACTAGATAAGATTTTTTAGACAACTTGCAATGTGAACAGACGACTGAAGTTGTAGTGGCCCCTTAGGCTTGTTACAATACTTCTGGCAGTTTGGGAGACCACAGATTAAAAAACAAAATTTAAAATTAGTATCAGGCAATGGTCATCTTTTAAAACACTAGGCTTAATTGTCCATTTATTGAGGAATACAGAGACAGACATAAATAACCTATTGACAGTCAAGAATCTTAAAAATGAAAAAAAGAAACCAGTTTAACTAACAAATTTCCAAAATTTGCTTGTAACAGATAATGAACTATAGATATGTAATATAAATCCATATGTATTCCCCTTTAACCCTTTTGGGGGCCAGTTCCTGGGCCCTTTTTTGGTACCAATGCTCTCGCGCTACCGTCCACAGGATGGATAGGGGGGCACAATAAACTACCCCACTTCGGGGAAAAATCTAAAAAATCTAATCATAGAATCAAAGGGAAACTAACTTTACATATAACATCCCTTAAAAAAATTTACCGAAGAAATTCGTTAACTCCTTTAAAAATTTGACTTAGTTTTCCCCAAAGAATTGAACAAAAACTAAAATGTAAGGTGTGCATAATTGACACCTCAAAATTAGCCTAGAGAAGAACTACAACTTGTGATTTTGACCACTCGGAAGCAACCAACATAATTAATAAACTTGGATGACCATAAGAACATGAACACTTCAATGTTGAGTAACTTTTCAACCTTTACTGATATCCGTGTTACCCACACGGAGTCCATAAATTGACAGTGACGGACAATCCATCAAACGAAAATTAAACCCAGTTTTCCCGTTCACCTTTGGGATCATTGCCGGAGGGGAGGGAAATTTAAAACTAAAGATCTTTTAACCTCACATCTTCCTTTTTTCCCAGTAACATGTTTAAGAAGGAGATAATTCATAAGACTTGCTATTTTCTTAAGAGGCCTTAAAGCATAAATCGGTGGGGTCTGGGGCCATGCCCTTAATAGAAGCGATCTACACAAATTTTATGACGCTTCCCCCTTTTTTTCAGAGATTGATATTGCCCCCATATCTCAAATAAAGTTTGATCCTTCTTTTTAAGCAGACACGCTTTCTTTCACCCAAGGGCTGATGCAATATGAAATATGCCCTTTGGTTTGGGAACTCCTTGCTACCTAGTGGACGATGAAAAGGTCTTGGGGAAAAAGCCAAACTTTCAGTTTTTTTTGATAACATTTACGCAAAACTCCACGTGAGGCGAACACATCCAAAAATTAACATCATTTTGCATGGGTTACGCCACGGGCCTAAACTGTCCAACCGAAAAAATGTTCCTTGGGTATAACAAGATTAATACGGACTGATACTTTCAATAACCTCTGCACCTCTCCCCATAAGACAAACTTTATTAAATTTTAAATTCCCCAAAACCAAAACTCAGGCATAGCTTTCTTTTGGTTCGGGTAAATTTTTATGCCGTTTAACCCAACCTTACTGACTTACAACATTTTATCTACTTCCTTAAAAAGCGTAAAGGGAACCTCTTGAACTTACCAGAGCCGGAAAATTTTAAAATAGATTAAAAGTATCTTTTGAAAGGCCCATACTTCGATTCCTTTTTATAAAACATTTTGTTTAAGAACGATATCTCCAATACTGCTTGGGTCAGTGCACTACAATACCATGATGGACCCCCCTTCCCTGTATGCTTCCAAACCGGAAACTCCTTCCCCGCAGAAACAGAACTCCACCATAAAAAGGAATGTTTGGCCCTTGTGTGGGGTTCCCCAAACTAAATTTTATTTTCGGGGAAAAAATTTATTTTAAAACGGCCACAAACTTTTATATACCTTTAAAATTTAAGGGGAAACCCAACCCTCCCTCAACAGATGGGGGAAAATAAAAGTCTGGGGGTGAAAAGGTACTGGGGCCCTTTATACTCCCTTTCAGAAACCCTAAGGGTGGAGTTTTGCCTGGTAGTCATAAATTGGGGTGATATGCTTCCGGGAGACAAAATGTGAAACTGAGGTGCTGTCCTGGGGGACAGTAAGGGAAGCTGGAGGGCGTCCTGGGAGACAGTAAGGGGAAGCTGGGGTGCTGTCCGGGGGACATAATGGGGAAGCTGGGGGTGCTGTCCTGGGGGACATAATTGTGAAGGGCTGGATATTTTGACCAGGTTTTCGGGGAATTATAATTTCGGAAAAATAATTAAATGACCCTCATAGGGGACAGGGGCCGAAAAGGGGAAAACAATGTATCAAAGAAAAAAAAAACCAAAAGCAAACTAGAAAGACCCCAAAGGAAATAGCAAACAAAGACCCAAAGCAAAGTTTTAGGAATTATTCCAAAAAAAACTGGGGGGAGCTCCATTGTTGGGGCTAGGGGGATAGGAAAAAGACAGGGAAACATGCACCAACAGGAATCATCACAGAAACCCAAGGCAAAAGGAAACCAAGCCTTGCACCTCTATGCATTTGGGATCTGCGACATGGGAAATCTGGGAAAAAAAGATGGGACTGCAACATGCCACCCTAGAAAAAGCCCTGCCCATTGACAACAGGAAAAAAGCAAACCCCTTCCTGTAAAACTTTTTTTACCCTGAAAGGTTTTACCCCTTCAGTACAGGAAAACGTGCTATAACTTTTAAAATTTCCAGCACCCCATCTAAAGGTACAAAAAATACAAAACACCAGACCTGGGAAAAACCTGGGGAGCCACAGCCCCTCAAGAGGGGAAAATTTTTTAGTGCCAGAAGGGAAAAAAACTGGCAGGGAAAAGGGAAAATCGTACACCAAATCCAGCATTCCTGGATGGAACCACATCGATGGCCCCACTCCAAAACCAAAAGATAAAATACTTTAATTTCCGGAAAAAAAAAAACCCCCCCCCCGTACCAACAAAACCCCAGTCCGAGACATTCTTCCCTTTGCAAATATACATTCAAAGCACAACAAAAAACAAAATACCTTCAAAACCTGGCTGCTTGCAGAGGCAAAGGCAAAAGTTCGCGGCTTTCACTAACCCAAAAGATACTTGGCAATAAATATGGATCCCAGTTCAACCTATACAAGGGGAAAAAGGAACAGGGAAAAAAGGGGGGGGGGTTGGCCGTACATTGCAGAGTCACTTGTTTTTCACGAAAGCTTTAAAGCCTCAAATGTTTGGAATTTTTTGCAGTAAGGTCGAGCCAAAACCTAGTCTTGTGGTAGTCAAAACCCGATGCAACATTCCACAATTCCAAACAGT